ATATATATATATATATATATATATATATATATATATATATATATAATTAGATTTTTACAACCCCTGGTAAGCCCCAATTATGGGAGGAAGCTAACTGCTTCCATCATCTGTCCTTCGGCTCGTCACAAGAGTCCATCACGACAGAAACCCAATATTTTTACTGTTGCCTTTGTTATATTTGTGTTTTTTTATTTGTGCTGATAGATGGTGAAATATACAGAACAATATTTCTAAACCTGAAAAATGTGTTATTAGTGCACTAACAGAGCAATTGTTAACTGACAGTTTTTGGATACAACAATTTTATCCGACCCTTGGTGGTACTATGAGATTTTAATCAAAATGCTGTATTGTAAAAAAAAAAAAAATGGCTTGAAGCAACTCTTTGAAAGAGACATTTCTAAAATCAAGTTAGGGTTATGCTTTTTAAACATGCATTCTTAGCCTAAGACTTTTCCAAAATTCACTGATATTTATATTCAATTACACTTCAGGCAACTGTTATTTTTAGACAGCAGATGTTGAAAATCGACATTATGAAGTTTGGGAGTGAATTCAAACCTTATAACCACAATTCTCTGGCAATGGGCTCTATCATTTCAAAGCCAATAAGAGGGTGATGATGGAACGGATTAAAAAGAATGTGAAATGACCCAAAAGCATCCTGGCAATTTAATGCATTTTATGTGCAACGTTATGTGAAATTGTTTCATCTTAACAGGATATGAATACAATAACAAGACCTAACTTCTTTTTCCAGTTAATTAGAGGGGAGAAAAACACTGAGGTAATGACAGCTTTTATTCGGATGCTTTTATGCATTTGAATTTAAGAGAATATACTGTCAAGAAAATTTAATCCCATTACTATTAGTAATCCCCTTGCTAAACAATGTCATACTCTTAATTTATTTGATTGAGTTTCAAATAGATTCCTACAGTTTAACTTATTGGATGTTCTTTCTCAAGGAAAACCAACAGCAGAAGAAACTGAATTAGCCCCACTTCAATGGTCGCTCCAAAGTAGAGGCTGGCCAGGAAATTATTGTAGGCTAATCATGGTAGAGTTCTTTGTGCCAACTCGGCTTGGGTGAAAGTTATATCTGGAGTACTAATTTGGAAACTCCCCTTATTTAAAAGCTAAATTGAACTTAAATTATTTGGGATTGCCACATTATGTGCTATTTAAAATAAATTCTAACATAAAGTATATTTATAATTTATATTATTGTATAGAGTTTGAAGACTAAATGTTGATTCGGAGTGCATGGAGTGCTCATGTAGCAAATGTCATAAGCTTTTTAAAGCAGCTGTATCTTTTCGCAGTATCTAGTGGCTGTCCTCTACAGTTATAACATGATCGCAGGAAAATAAATGTTTGCTTTTAAGTCAGTGTTTCTCAGCCTTACCACTTTAAGGTGAGTGGATGTCAATTCCTATGCTGGCTGGGGAATTCTGGGAGTTGAAGTCCATCCATTTTAAAATGGTTAAGATTGAGAAACACTGGATAAAACAGCGGTGGGATTCAACCGTTGTAACAACTGGTTTGCTGAGCACACGCTTTGCGTTTGAAAACAGCTCTAAAACATACCTTCTACTGCAGCCCCAGCGAGTAAAACAGCTGAGGTGCGGCAATTCACTCTGCCACGGCTATCAGATGGGCTTCAACCAAAGAAAATATAGGATAGACTAGCGCAGCGGCAGGGGGTGGGGCCAACTGATCCCCGAAACTACCGGTTCACCAGAACCGGTCTGAACCAACTGAATCCCACCCCTCATTACCATATTTTTTGGAGTAGAAGACACACCGGAGTATAAGATGCAACAAAATTTTGAAGGGGGAAATTTTAAAAAAAGTTTTTGCACTCTGCAGGCCTCCCAAAAACGGGCCTATTTTTTTAAAAAAAAGGGGGGGGGGCATGTATAGCCTTTAGGAGGCTTGTAGAGTGCTCTGGGGGTGGTAATGGTGGGGCAAAATTGAGCAAAAAACAGCCCATTTTTTTGCTCATTTCTGCCCTTCCCAGACCCCAGAAGCACTCTGGAAGCCTCCTAAAGGCTCTGCATGGCCATTTTGGTGAAGGGGGCTGCATTCAGTGTATAAGATGCACCTAGATTTTCACCCTCTTTTTTGAGGGGAAAAGGTGCATCTTATACTCCAAAAAAATATGGGAAGTAATTGCAGACTGGTCCTTTATAGATACCTACACAAGCTTCAGTGATCTACTTGCCTATGCACAGATTTAGGTGTAGACACAACCATTGAGTCTAATCATGAGGGAACATAAGAGACACAATTCTAAAAACTTCATGGGACAGAAAGATTTACCCTACGTCAAAGAAAGTGATTCTTGAATTACCCCTGCCAGCAGTCAATTATAAGTTCAAAAAAATCTTAAACAAGCCAAAAATCAGAACACTTTGAACAGAAATGGGACCATATTTTTCGCTCAATCAAAGTGTTCAACATTCCGCCTACAGCATTTGGTATCACTTGCAAATTCATTTCAAAGAATGGATACAATTAGGTCATTTGCTTTTTGACTGGGAGAAATAGCAATTTTAGAATTTGACTTCAGTGCCATCCTATAGATGATACAAGATATTTCACAAGGTAGCTGTGGTTCAGAACAAGGCCTGGGGTTTCCTGTACTTTTATTATCAATTTTCTTGCATTTCTGGTGTTTGAAGTAAGGAAGAATATGTGGTGGCATGGGGCAGTTGGCAAGGAAAGAGATCTCAGAAAAATTGAAGATATCAGCATCTCTACTCCATTTCCTGGAAGAGGTCACTAGCAATGGAGCCAGAAATAAAACTGCCAATAAAATAAAACAGTCACGTAAAGAATAAGAATATTTTTCTCCTTCTTTGAACTGTATTGCTTTCTTCACTTTTTTATCTTCCTTCTTTCTCTAACTGTTCGCTATATTTGTTTATGTTTATCTTTTATTTAATTTTTTTCAATATTTCTTAAATCTTACAGGTAAAGGTTCCCCTCACACATATGTGCTAGTCATTTCCGACTCTAAGGGGCGGTGCTCATCTGTCCGAAGACATATCTGTGGTCATCTGGCCAACATGACGAAACGCCGAAGGCACACGGAACGCTGTTACTTTTCCACCAAAGGTGGTTCCTATTTTTCTACTTGCATTTTTACATCCTTTCGAACTGCTAGGCTGGCAGAAGCTGGGACAAGTACATTCTGCTAAATCCTACCCTGTTACCCCGAAAATAAGACAATCCCGGATTATAAACCCACTAGGGTTTTTGAGTGCATGTGCTAAAATAAGCCCTCCCCCCAAATTAAGCACTCCTGAAAATATTTAAGCCGGGGGGGGGGGAAACATGCCCATGCACCAACTAACACCCTTACCTAATGGCCACTCCCGCCACCCTAGTCACCGTGCCCCTTCTGTCATGTTAATGGCTGCCGCAAAAAGAGCAGCAGGCCCAGCAATGCGCAACACAGCAGCAGCCATGAGGTGACCACACTTGCCGCCTCCTGCACCTCAAAAATAACAAGACCTCCCCCAAAATAAGGCCAAGTGCTTATTTCAGGGGTCAAAAGAAAATAAGACCCTGTCTTATTTTTGGGGAAAACACGGTATGTCCCATTCACTTCCAAGTTTAACACCATGAATTCCAGCCAAGATAACTAAGGATAGGATGAAGCAGATTGAGGTGGGTGTTATTGACTTCTAGTCACATGTATGATTGATATGAAATACTGATCACAAAATATGTAAGTACAAGTATATACTGTACCTTGTTTTACCTGTAAGGAACACACACCTGACAAAAGGCAATCTTCACATCCAGAGTAGGCTCACTGCAGTAATGTAAGAAATGGCGGCTCATAAATATCTGAAATTCAAAGAACAATGGCATAAATATTTCTCATCCAAATGGGACTAAGTTATAATGCTGTTTCAATCTAGTTAATATCTATGACATGGGTTCAATAGTAAAGAAAACTCAAAGTTAGCTTTTTAAGAAACCATTATTAAGGTTTGTTTAAGACCAAACTTTTGTTTTCCTATAGGAAAAATATTTTCAGTATCAATGAGAATATTTGCAAGAAAATAAAATGATAGATAGATAGATGATAGATAGGTGATAGATAGATAGATAGATAGATAGATAGATAGATAGATAGATAGATAGATAGNAAATTTAGTTTGGTTTCTAATTGTAAAGCATAAATGGATATTCCATTCAGTATAATGAACAAATAAGACAGCTCCAGAACAGAGTATTTCACCACTGTATTCTAAATAGTTTTGTGGAAGTAAATCTTTTCAGGATTTTGTACAAGTCCGCATCTATTAACTTTGATGAATAGAAGTTCTTGGTATTATGTTTTCAAAAAAGTTATTAAAGACTGGTCATGCCTCTGTCGGAGTCTGAAGACAGAAGATGAGCTGGCACAAGAAGTGACAGCAAGTGAAGGGCAGTTCCATTGGCCTTGGGGGAAACTGGGGAAAGGCAGTCAGTCCAGACAAGGCTTTTCGGAATTAGTAAGGCCTGCAGGCAGAGAGGCAGGATGAACAGGAGAGACAGAGCTCAGACGAGGAACAAGAACCATCCCCTTCTGATGCAAGAGCTCGGAGAGCGCAGAGCAGGCGTGATCAGTACAGACAGAGCAGGGTACTCGTGAGGAGAGTGCCCTGCCCATCTTCACCAGGCACACCTGGGGAATGAGACTTAAGGAGACCCTATGGGGAGGGGCATTTGTCGGGAACAAATGCCTAGTTCCTGAAGTGTTGTGTACCGAAGTTTGAACTTTCCAAGTGTCTTTGCATTCCTTTTGGCGTTCTGGACTACTTACCTGGATCTTTTGCTCCCTTAACTCCTTGATTTGTTCTTGTTTTACCAAATACATTTGGGATTTATTGCTGTGCAGCCTTAGTGCAGACAGCGCTGGGCTGGACTAACTGCAGTCAGAGGCTGCTTAAGGTTTGTGTGGGTTTTTTTTCTCACTCTGCTCTGCTCAGAAATGTGGGAACATTTGGGGAGATTTGGAGCAATTAAAGGGTGGTTTGAACTGCCAGCTCTGTGCCATGCCCTGGGTCATCACAAGATTACAATAAAAAGAATAAAAGCTAAATAAATTAAAAATATTAAAAATGTGGGGGGAAAAAAGAAGTCACTTTCCTCTTCATTCCATCAAGTACATAACTTAAGTACAATGATTTATGTAGGTTACTTGCAAGGAGCAGCTGTATGGAATCACACTGGCTATTTCAAAGATCCAGAATGAATTTCAACAGCCAGGATTCCGCATCCCTCTCTAATCTCCACTGCAACACCATCCTGCTACAAAACTGATGCCTATCTCACCATGGCTTTCACACAGAAGGCGCAATGTTAATTGGAGCCATTATTCTAATTTTTTAGAGAACCAAGTTGGAAGAATAGCATAAATCCAATGTACATTTAACTAGTCAAGATCCAAGCACTCCAAGATTTTCATCCAATGCTCTAGTTCCCTCTGAATAGGCTGAGTTGAATTTTCAAAAATCTAGACCAGAATGCCCAATACATTTTTAGAACAAACACTGGACAACAATTTTCAAACAATTTGCTTTCTGAAAAACGTTTTGTGATTATGATATATATCATACGGGTGTGTACTTTATGCTATACTGCTCATACTTAGGTTTCCCTTCTCAGATATCCACAGCAATACAGGTGAATCTGGTGGCCAGATCTCAACATATCAAAGCTATCAGCTTATCAATCATTAGGAAGGATTGCTAAAATAAATGGCATAAGAAAAAAATGACTATATTTCTTTAATCATATGCCAAAATAAGTGAAAGAGTGGGGGCAGAGGAGATATGAGAGACACAACGCCTATATTGTTCAAGTTATGAAATCACAGGACAGTGAAGAAAAAGTAGGGGACCTAACCCAAAACAGCAGCAACACCAAAGCAGTGAACAGGAGCACAATTAGTGGAGTTAATTGTCCAGTAGTATTTTACCACTTTGTCCCTAAAGAAGAGACACCACACTAAAAGAAGAAAATCCTATCCTCAAAACCTAACCCCCAAGGCACATATGTTATCCTCACAGGAATGCTTTCATAAAAAAGATAATTTTTCAGGTGTGGGGGAATGATATGACATCCTTAATACACATCATATAACCACTATTAGCATTTGAAAACAGATTTGTCATTAATAAAGAGCTGAAATTTTCTGCTGCCCAGAAAAGTTTTATTAAGCAGCTCAAGTTTCCCCTTCAAAATCTTATTGACCAGCTCTGGAGGAAAAAAAAATAACAATTATATAAAATGCAATGTCCAGACCAGCATCTTATTTAAATAATGCAATTTCATATTCAACATTGTATTCCAATAAGAGTAAAATCTGGAAAACTACCAAAGACACTGTCTGCTTTTCAAGAACAATACCTTCTTAATTCATTCAAAACTTTAAAAGCTTTTATGATGTGCCAAGGATTCACTGTAGCAGGACAGCGTTTTTCAGTATTATCATCTTTCAAATCCAGTGGTTTCTGCTGGCATACTTTGGCACATCTGAAAAAGAAAAAAGATTTCTTAACCATGAGAGTTTGCAACCAACTTAATTACTAATGCTAAACTGATTAGTTTATTTGTGCTTTTATTGTTCCACAATATCATTGTTATATAGCCTTATAAGTTGCTTTAGAGTCCTTGACTGAAGTGACACAAAAGCTTGTAATATTTATATTCACTTACAGTTCTGCAACTCAGCCAAGTAAAATGTGCTTTTAGCTTTGACTTGACTATGCCTTTAAGCTTTGGGATGAACAACCCAACTCCCAAGTGAAATTCAAACTAGGAAAAGCCCTAAATTTAAGCAACCACAATAATTAAGTCATTGATAAGAGGCTGAAGTAGCTACAATTAAACACACATTGAAACACACTAAATGGAAGTTAGTGCTAACAGCATATAGGTGAAGCATCATTTGTCATTGCAAAGCTTATTAAAATAGCTTATTTATCAAATGGTTTCTGTAAATGAAACTATTAAGGAAAGAACTTTCCCAACTTGATGTATTCTATGTATTCAACTGTATCTTTCAGAATAGTCAGTTCACATGATCATTGGCCATCGGCATGATGGGAAATACTGGAAATTTTAATTCAACATGCCTGAAAGTCATGGGTTTGGTGAAGATGTGATTAGAGCAAAAAGCAAACAAAAACATGATGCCCAAATTTGAGACATAAGACAAAAAAATCTCACAAAATAAACAATATCTTTGCATCTTATTAAAATATGTAGTTTCCCCATATATTGACCTTACATCTCTTCTTAAAATAATTCCATGGTTTTTTAAATGAAAACTAAAGCATAATTGGCAACCACTTCTCTATAAACTCACTCTTCTGGCCTGATAAACAAATCAACATTTACAGATTCTTTTTTTAAATAGCCAGCATTTTATCCTACTGATCCTATGTTCAGAATGAGCAAATTCCTTAAAATGAGACTAGGACTAATACTAGAAGACAGCAACTACACATGTAAGTGGTGGACATGAGAAACATGCAAGAGCTTTACACAATTAGTTATGGGATTGCCCTTTGCTGCACCTCCAGTTCGATAATGCCGAGATACTGCACTAGACTGCCCAAGGTTCTAATACAGAAGTACTATTCTTTCATAATTCTCCAAACGTGTTGATTATCCTAAACGTAAAAGATTGATATTATCATATATCACTACCTTTCACAGAAGACACTACCAAAAAAACAAACACTGGGACTGTTTTATCCCAGTTTAACATTTAATTTCAAATGTAATTTTCATAAACACTTTCAGTCTTCCTGGGAACCAAACTTGGACAGAGTCTTAAAATAAAAAATGAAGATCACAACTTTATTTTTTGCTAGTACAGGTGAAACTCAAAAAATTAGAATATATGCAAAAGTTCATTTATTTCAGTAATGCAACTTAAAAGGTGAAACTAATATATGAGCTAGACTCAGTACATGGAAAGCAAGATAGTTCAAGCCGTGATTTGTCATAATTGTGATG